CGGACGAAACCGAAGACGACGACGACGAAAGAGGCGGAGGCGGAGGCGGGGAGGGGGTGGGAAAGGACGGGCGCGGGAAGGGGCGCGGGAAGGCCGCCGTGGCGCGGGATCCCGCCGTCTCGGCGGGGATTAAACTCGGGAAGACCAGCCGGACGTACACCTCCTCGGCCTCGACGGGAGGGGGGGGGGGGCGCGTATCCCGACGGGAAGGGCGTGACGCGGGGTCGATGGGGTGGAGACGAGGCCGCGGATGGAGATGGGGGCGGTCTCGAAGGGTTTTTTTTTTTGCCCGAGGTCGCATGGGCGGGTGGATTTAGGGATTAATAAATTTCCTTTTGGGTGTGTGGGTGTGAAAGGGGTGGGGGGGGGTATTCCATAGGTCAGTGTTCCTATGCTTTAGCTGAGAGAAGAGGAATAAGGTCAGATTTGTATCACCATACACGCCAATAAAGAATCGCCTGAAAGGTGTGGGGGTTGAATAGGATAACAGGAAATCCTTATGTTGTCAGCACACATGTTAAGGTGGGATATGTAGGGGGTTTAAGAAAGTAGTATCAAAGCTCGACATCCTTGCAAAACCGAACGGAGATGCATACCCACACACGCAGACGCCTCTCTTCCGTACTTATATCGGTGCATTGACTCGTCTAAAGAGGAACTTTAGGGTAAACCGCATGACCAGGTCAGGTTTCAGAGCATAAGACATGCTCACAATGTCGTTTTCGTAAGTATCGGAAAGGTGAATTCGATCAACCATAACCAAGATGGGTGAAAAGGAAGCCACGAAGCGCAACTTTTAAATCTCTTGTGCAAAAAGAAGAGTCCACCGGGAATATGGAGCCCCACAACGACGATAATCAAAATCCCGACTTAACTAAGGACTGTTGTGTTGTGTAAATGTACAAAAAGAGAAGTTGAGGTAGCTAAAAACATCAGCATATCAGCGTAATTTACCAGGGTATCCTGCTGGCCTTGTATGCATTCCCTTGCGTGGCTAACTTAAAATGTAATGCACCAGAGCATACCGCGCAAACGCATCGATCTCCTTTGCGGTCAAGCCCTCACTCATAACGGCAGGGAACACATTCACGACATGCTCACCCCTTCCAAAACGCCTTCGACGTTCTCTGGGGGACTTTCTGTGAGCTTTTCCTGTCTTTTTGCGGGCCACCCTCACGCCGTCTGTAAGGCCCTTTCGCTCTAACCAATCCCTCTCTGGATCGATCGCGGCGCCGTGCATCGCGGCCGTCAGGCGAGGCTGCAGCCAGGCATCCGAAAGCACCAAAACGCGTCGTTTAAGAACGCCATTCTCTCCGGTTGAGATCGAGGAAGAGGGAGACGACGAAGGGATGCAAAGAGAGGGCAGCGCGCGAAGTCGTTGGAGAACGCCGTGGAGGGTGAACAATCCGCCATGCGGAAAATGAAGCGAGGAGGAAAAGATGCCACACGCCCCCTCCTCCTCTTCCCCCGCGCGATCCCACCCCACGCAAGTCTCTGGGTAATTCGTTTCCTCGGTTGTTTCAGCGGGTGTGTGGCCATCGTGGGGATTTGGGGGGCCCTTTAACTCAAAGTCCTGAAGTCCGATGCGCACGGGCACCACGCGAAGTATTTTCGCCCCCCACGGCCCCTCATCCACGAGGAAGCGGAGACGTTCGCAAAATTCCCGCATCGGCTCCCCCACCGGCAACGCGTGTTGACTGCCGCTATGCAGGATAACGAAAACCACCCGATCCGGCAGCGCCGCCGCACATGGCATCCTTAAAGAAGACGAGGATGAAGATACTAAAGCGGATAAATCATCCTCCTTGATTGGATTGCCCGCAGAGGGGGCTTTCTGGAGTTTCAGAAGCGAATCGTACGCCGCGCGGGCGTTTTCCCACACCGCCTCGACCTCCCGTTGAATCGTCGAGAAGCCGTGCTCGCGGCTGCCAGTTTCCTTGAAGTGCTTATCGATGCTATTCGTGTAGCGAGAATTTAACACGCGGTAGCGCAGCATATCCCTGCACGCCGGGTGATAGCGAAGGGCGTTTTGGAGATCCATCGTGGTATGGTAGACGCCCGTGTTCTCCAAAATCGAACGTGGTGCCTTCTTTTCCGCTTGTTGCATCGGTTTTGCACCATTCAGGGGGATTTCAGGATGGGGGGATGATGGAAAGAGCATCGGCCGGATAACCGCGCAGGCATCCACGGCGGATTGCACCTGCAGCATGGGGAGGGAAAGATCAACATACCGCCGTGAGGGGCTGAAGAAGGCGAGGAGTTCAGCCTCCACCGCCCGCACCTTCGAAACGTCGTACTTCATTTGCCCGTTTGAATCGCGGGAGGATCGGCGAAGAGGGCATTTGGGAGCGCGCCACGGCCGCGTGAGGGAGTACATTCATGCAATGATTCCCTTTTCGTTTCTTCTTGTATTTCTGTGCTTCTAAACTGTAAAAAGGCGATTACAGTGAGGTCTGGTGAATATTTCTTGATAGTGCGTATATATAGATATGAAGCACCAGGATTACTAACAGGGGAAAAATTGGTGGAAAACAATAATCTCCTTCATTAGGGTGTCTACTTTGTTGAGAAAACAAAAAAATGTGGAATACAGAATGATGTTATGCATCAACAAGCGAGAAAATTCACACCGATAGGTCATGTTTCGGATAGCAAACAGCTCCATTGAAGTGATAGTAATAATAGGTACTCCTTTATCGAAGAAGGAAAATTGTATCCTTTCGCTAACACATGGATCACCAACACTTAACTAACCCCAATCTATATCGCCGTATTGTTTACACGCTCTAAGCGCCGACAGAAAGCCTGCGGAGTTTGACGAAACACACGCACACACACACACACGTCCAATTCGTTTTCAAAGGAATCGTGGCGTGAGGGGAAGAATCCAGAAGGCTTCGTCAAAGAACTCTGCGCCCATCAAAGTGGCGCTATGGTAATGCTTGTTTGTCAAATCGTCCGGAGGAACGCGCATTCTCGTTTATCTTCTTCTTCATTGGGCGAGATCCTTCTCCGGCGGGGGCGTCTCCTTTTCGTCCTCGGCAGAGGCTGTTGGCGGCTCCTCGTTCGCCGGCGCGACGTCCTCTTCGTAGGGCTTTTCCTCCTCACCGCCCAGCTCGCGATCGCGCTCGGCGATATATTTTTCAAACTCCTGATCGATGCGCTCCCCACGTGTGAGAGGTAGGCCTCCACGGCGGCGATCCCGAAACCCCCCTCGACCCCGTCGATACTGTCGAATCCCCAACACCTCCTCCATCTCCTTCCCTTCCGAAAGCAGCTGATACTTATCGTGATGCCATTTATCATCCTCGGCGCGATCGGGTTGGGAATCGGGGTGATCCTCTGCGCCTTCGGCATCCCGTTTGGGCGGGATGAATCCGCGGTGGTGGGAGGGATGCAGCAGCATCACGCCGTGCTCGTTGGAGAGCGCCACCCGCAGCGTCGTCTCGGCGATCACGCGGCCGTTCATCGCGTCGATCGCGAGCGCCGCGTCGGCGGGGTTGCGATACGTGCAGAGCGCACTTCCAATAAAACGACCGGAGCGCTCGGTGAACATTTTGTACGATTCAATCGGGCCGAAAGCCTCGAATTCGCGTCGCAGCGCGTTCGCCCCTTCCCGCTCGATGCTTTCCACCGGAATTTGGGAGATGTAGACTCGGCAGCTGCGGTCGATGACGACACCGACGGGCTGCGGCGCCTCCCGTGCGGCGTGGCCGCGACCGCGCAGCAAAACGCTTTTCGGGAGATCCTTCATCGACTCCAACGGAGTAAAAGACGCCATCGAGTGATTTGATTGCACACACGGAAAAAAAAGATCCGTTCACGCGAAATACCCGTGTGGAGCTCGTGAAAACTGTCTAAAAGGGGAAAAAACGGGGAAATCAAAGCAGCGATACGCCTCAAAGCAAGCGATAGCTAGGCTTGAAGGTGGATGAAGAAGCGCGCGGTTGATTGCTTGTACGTATGCGGGCCTTTAAAAGCTCGGCAGCACTTTTTCTTTAGGATGAGGTAGGCTCGATAAACCAAAGTCATGCAAAAAGATGAAGGGAGAGGAAAAGCGAAAGACTCAGGCGTGAATTAGCCAAAGCATACCATCAAAGAACGTGCTAATTTGAATCTTGCTCACTTTACACATAGTACAGAACTTAGCTTTTCCACAGGTTTTACTCTTTCTCACTTATTCACCCATGTATAAGTATACGTATGTATGCGTAAACATTGCAGAACCGTTGTCAGCAGGCACTAGTTAGCACCATCTGCTTACGAAAAATGGCAAATCATAAGTAAAAATAACGATCTCATCATTTACAGGTTACGTGGAAATTAATATAAAAAAACGCTGGTATGTAATCAAACAAGAAGTAAAATTTGTGAACATTTATTCCTAATGTGACGTTCCACCTTTTAAGCTAGTTGAAGCAACCATGAAGCTCGTTTAGATAAGCTATCTTGATCCTCTCATTGAAGAGTTCGGTTCGTACTGGATAACTAATAAGGGGGGAAAAAGGATCCTTAGAGAAAGTAAACATTAATAGTAATACTAATAACGCTGGTAATAATAACAAATTATTATTATTGTTATCATTAGTTTCCACGATCTTAGTGCGGGGTAACCTTCGCCCCGTCAACGTAAAGGTTTCGCGTCGCCTTTGGAAGCCGCACCTTCAGCCCTTTGTGTTTCTCCTGGACGAGTCTTAACTGACAGCCCAAGCGCGAGTTTTCCTGCGGGAAAAAGGCGACGTCGAGCATATCATTCTCCTCATCCGTCGCCTCGGGAAACAAATCCATCGCGTCCTCGTCTTCCAAGTAGACGTGGCAGGTCGAGCACGCGCAGGACCCCGCGCAGGCGCCCTCCATCGGAAGTCCGTACTCCGAGGCCACATCCAACAACGTCTGCCCTTCGTACGCGATCACCTCCTCAACGCTGCCATCGGGGAGGATGAACTCGATTGGGATCGGCCGCGCGCGATCGCCTTGATGGCCGTGGAATCGAAGGGAGTTTAGAATCGGCAAAGGTGAAAAAAGAGAGGTGGCGTGGGGGGCTAAAAGGCCCGCGTTCTGGCCAGCTTGTCGTCGAAGCCGAGAGAGACTCATTAGAAGACCCCTCCGGAGCGGAACCTGCATGGGAGATGAATGAGATGTCGTGTGAACTAATTTAGACGGAGTTCTATATCTCTCTCTTAGTCCGAAAGAGACAATTTCCGGGAATGGGTAAACCGGTATATTGTTGGATATACGCAAGGGTATGAAAAGAAGGTAACAGAAAAATATACTTCACTTCCACCACTGTAATTTATTTCCTACTACTGAAGTTTTTTTTAAAAAAAAAGAGGGGAAACAAAAGAACGTTGAAGAATGGCACTAACAAAGCATATGGCACTCCACACATCCACACACACGCGCTTTCTCTCCCTTGATAAAAGTTTATCGGATCCAGCACAATTATCATCGTCATTTTGGAAATTTTCAGCTTTATTTATTAATCTCCTTTATTTCCTATGTCATCTATTGTTTATGCGGTTTAACGTTTCCCCAAAGTCAACATCCGATCAATTTATTTGTCCCTTCTTGAAATGACAAGGTCCATCTCGTTTACCCCCTTTCTCACCCCATGGGCTAAGCACTTAGAAGGAGGAATATCGACAAGCAAACAAGAACTCCTGATAAAACACCTTCACCCCTCCTTTGTTAAACAAGGGCAACCCAACCACCCACACACCCCGAAGAAAAAAAGAAAAAAACAAAACAAGACGCCGTGGAGGATCTATTTCGCGATTTCGTTGGCGCCACCCTCCCCAAGGAGGATCCCGCGGAGCCCGTAAACGCCAAACTCGCAGACGGCGAACACCGCGACCATCCCCGCCACCACCGCGGCGACGGCCAATTCGAACCCCAGCCGTTTCGCGGCGTAGACGTAGAGGGTTTGCTCGTAGGGCCCGAACAGCGCGGCGCCGTGGGGGGTCGCGAGGAAGGCCTCGGAGGTCACCGTGGTCGTGATCGGGCGAGGCCGCGCCGCGGACGCGTGGGGGATCGCCGCGAGCTGCCGGAATTGCCGCTCGAGGGCCTTTTCGTAGCGCCGGAGCTC